TTCTACAATTGACGCATTTCGAAATGAAGTGGAGACTTTGTTTGACCGTCTGCACCCTGAGTAATGTTAAAGGAACTGTGAATTTGTATTAAATATTAATTTGAAAGTGCTCGCTGCGTGAAAATATGCTCCAATTTACAATAACTGTTATTGAAAGCGGAAAATTCGAAGAATTCTTATTCTAAGAACGAACTAACCTGATAATACTTCATTTCAGGTGGAGCTCCCAACGATACATCCTTCCCCTTCGAACGCTGGCGGCAGACTGAGCATAACAATCCTTCTACATATACTTTATAATCCCGAAATTAAACTTTTTCAATAACTACGTAATTTCTAACGTTGAAATACCGTTCGATTTAAAGTATGGAGCCTGCGGCGATGTTTTCAAACTCCGATAATATTCATTCTATGTAATTGTTGCTAAGACACTCCATACTGGACTGTAAAATTTGGGAAAATTTCATTTAATTTCATTTCAAAGACGGGAGAATTTCATTTAATTCCTTACTATAATTTTACCTAATTTCTTATTTCATCTTAATCACAGCGAAGTTGCTATTACAATTTTACCGCACAAAGGAATCTCCAAACTGTGGAGAAACTTTATTTTCTGCACTCTAAACTACAAATCCAAGATAGCATCGTACTTTTATCTCGTACCGAACCTCCTAAACCAGCGACCAGCTCGCATTACGCAAAAAAAAAAAAAAAAGAAAAGAGAAAATGTAAATTGAAAGTCTTAATTTAATTTAATATGCAAACGGAGCTCTTAAGCTAATCGCCAACTTGATTGTTTCGCAAAAAGAATCAACGTTAACTTACCGTATCAATTTTCCCCGTGCGGAGTAATCGAAAAATCATGGAAGAATCGTACGAGCATAGCGGCTACGCATTTGCATGGGGATCCACGGCTCGGAAGCAGCCTCCCCGTCCATGTCCCGGCCGGATATCGATAGCTATCAGCCGCCGCGACGGAATTTATTCGCTTTCGCGAAAGCCGCCGACTTATCTCGCGCGCCGCCCTTTGATTTACATGTAAACACCTCTTGCCGGCCAGATAACACTTAATTAACTCGCACCTGTTAATTAATAAGGCACCTTTCACGCCCGATTGAAAATTATTCTTCGACATCCGTGAAAAGTCCCCCCGCGGCACTTATCTCGTTCAGATGGATAACAAGTGTTTCGTTGACGATTCGATGAAGCAAGCGAAGAACGTTTGAAACGAGACGCAAACGGCAAGTATGATCGTTGTTGGAGAGAGAGAGAGAGAGAGAGGGGGAGAGAGAAAAGAAAGAAAGGAAAGAAAGAAAGAGAAGAAGTATAGAAGGAAAGAGGACGAAGAACGTCCTAAACGTTCCACGAAATTTTTATGCGTGAATTATCGTTAATTTATTTTAAGTTAAAACCTTTTTTTACAACGATATCTTACAATTGTCGCTTTATACATGTTTCACGGGAAAGAAATCAGTATCGCCACGGAATAATAATCGTTCGTGTGTGTGTTCACTTCCGTAATCCGTCGTCCAGGCCGCCTCTCCTCTTCCTCCCTTAGAAATTATTTCATCCTGTGTGTATATACCTCTATACGCCTCTTGTGTCACGTCTCTCCACATGTGTGTATGTCCTCTGTGTGTGTGTGTGTCTGTATATGTTTTCTCTCTTTATACAGTCTACACGCTACTCCCTAATAATACTATTTTTTTAAATTTTTTTATTAGAATAACCTGCCCCCTCGTTCCTCCCGCCGTCTCTCGCCCTCCAGGACTCTTACACGCCCCTCCGTTCCTCCTGCTCTCGTCAGTCTTTTCTTTTTCTTTTTGTTTCTTGTTTTTTTTTTTTCGATTTTCGGCCAGTATTCACTCGCACTGACTCGCCACCCCGTTCGTTCGCCCCCTGGAATTGTCACTCTGACTCACGGAGAATCGATACTCCCCGTGCTAGACCCTTCGCACTTTTATTTCCATCTATTTGGAACATTGGGAAATTTTCACGAATGCTCTGCGAACGGTTGCAGGAGGTATTGGAATGGAATATCGCGGAATTGGAATTAAACAATTTTTAAAAACCAAGGATTTAGGGATTGGGATGGAACTTTGCAAAGTTGAAAGTAAAAAATTTTCAAAGACGGAGGATTTAGGGATTGAAATGGAGCTTTGCAGAATTGAAAGTAAAATATTTCCAAAGACGCAAGATTCAGGGATTAGAATGGAGCTTTGCAGAATTGAAAGTAAAATATTTCCAAAGACGCAAGATTCAGGGATTAGAATGGAGCTTTGCAGAATTGAAATTAAAAAATTTCCAAATTGGTGAATGAAGGAATTAGAATAGAACTTTGCAAAATCGAAGCTAAAAAATTTCAAAAAAGACGCAAGATTCAGGGATTAGAATGGAGCTTTGCAGAATTGAAATTAAAAAATTTCCAACGACGCAGAATTTAGGGATTGAAATGAAACTTCGCAAGATTGAAGCTAAAAAATTTCCAAAAACGCAAGATTCAGGGATTAGAATGGAGCTTTGCAGAATTGCAATTAAAAAATTTCCAACGACGCAGAATTTAGGGATTGAAATGGAACTTCGCAAGATTGAAGCTAAAAAATTTCCAAAGACGCAGGATTCAGGGATTAGAATGGAACTTTGCAGAATTGAAATTAAAAAATTTCCAAATTGATGGATG